AAACTTCCTTCTGGTGATGTTATGATTCCAGTTGCATCTCAGTTATACAACACAAATGCCTAAAAATACAAATTCTCAAATCTTTTTTTCTTGGGCAAACTTGAGAACAACATCAGCGAACAATTTGCACTTCTAGAATCCAGAATTTCAAATACTTATAACCATCCTACTTTTTAACACTCTCTTTGCCAAAACACTAGCATGTATAACTAAAAAATAAATAAAATAAAATATGGTTTTGTTTACTGCTTCTATGCAAAAGGAATTCAGCATTAGCTGACACAGTGTTGTATTCTTGCCGCTACATATGCCCTAAAAGAGCTTGAAGATTCTTAAAAACAGATGCAATCAGTTTCTTGGCTTTGCAACTTCTAGCATATGCTGGCTCTTTCTGGGTGTCAGAGTAAATAATTTGATATACAGCTTGTGTTTCTTCATAGGTTTGAACTCTCCATAACTATCTTTTGGGTTTTCAGTGAACTATACATATTCTCTAAAGTCTGTGACATGTTACTTCTCAAATTCTACATGTATTACCCAGGGTTTTCTTTCTGTAATCTTTTCTCTGTTTCTTTCAGAAATATTTTTCTTCTGTGTTTTCACTCTCCTTTTGTACCCTGTTTTTTAACTTTGGGGACTGGACGCTATACTCTTCAAGACTTAGATAGGAAGAAAAACAGAAGTACTTCAAAATAGCCACATTCAAACCTCTACAAAGGATTCAAACATCTTGAATCCTTTGTAGTACTCTGATTGTTTGCAGATAAAGCATAAACCATGGTTTGAATCTGACCAACTGCTTTCACCCTTACCAGAGTTTCAATTTACTTCATACCTTCATAGGAAGTGAATACAGCAAAGAGCCTTAGAGGAACCACAAGATAAGGATAAATGGTAGCAGCCAATATGGTAACTACAGGTTAGAATATTAGGTGCATAGTCACTGCAAATCTTGTTTTAAATGTCCTTTGAGAATAGAATGTTATAGAAAGATTCATGAAAACAGGTTAGTCTGGGATGTTCAACCTCAGGGTAAGACGAGGCAAAGGTGCCAATGGGGTGTAATGAATAAGATTTTTTTTTTTAAGTGTATGTAAAAGCTTAGACATTCAGAAAAAGAACGGTTTTCATAGTACCATGCCTAGATGTCAAGTACAACTGTATTTGACAACTGAAAAGATCAGTCTCAAAAGCTATATATACTATAAGATCAAAGTCACAAATTTGCCTCCTAAAATGAGTAGTCATTTTGGAAAATGCTGGCACAGCTAAGAATGGCAATTTACCCTGTTCTTTCTTACTCCGATTATCCCCCTGCTCTCAGTGGAGGCCATTTTTAAATACTCCTCTTGTCTAGAAAGATCACCTGCTTAGCAAGTGGCAAAGGCTGAGCATTTGGAGAACCCAAACAGCCAGTATGAACCAGAGCTAGATTTCCAGTTGACAGAAATCCTTCTCTGTACCCTACAGCTGCCCGATGATGTTTAACAAGTAATTCTTCAGAAAATATTTTCCTTTCTAGGTGCACAGCAAGTTATGCAAGTGGGTACTTAGCACCTTCTGAAAGAGCACCTTCTGACAGCTTCCAGTCCTTCATAGTTGTTTATTTTATTTTGTGACAAAGCCATGTATTTTTGCCTGATCACATTTTAATGTGAAGATGGCAACTGAGGAAATATTAACAACTCTTTTCTCTTCAAAACATGCCATCAGTCTATGAACATTACAAAAACAAATAAAAAACCCCACCCCAAACCCTTGAATATAATTTAGAGGCTACTAAACAAAACATACCAACTACTGAAACCCATCCTAAAAATAAAGAGTATCTTTTTTTTCTTGATGAGGCAGAAACCAGTGCAATCTGTCTGGTAGATACATAAAAAGCTTATCTAGTTCATTTCATGTTCATCTAAAGTTGACCCACTTAATTATTTCTTCCATTAAACAGCCCACTACTGCTTCTTTTCTGGTTGGAAAAAGTGTCAGTGTTACAGGAGCGAGATTTTATGCTCAGAGGACCTGGGATTAGAAGAACAATCATTTTGATATTGGAGATTTGTGGGTTTTGAGCGTGTAGAAAATTTTTATGCTGACATGCGTCTCTGTTATGAAATAACTTCAAACTCTGGGATAGTAGCAGATGTTATAGACCAAAGAATCAAAACTGTTGGTTTTGGATAAAAAAAATCTTCCAGTGTTATTAGAAAACAGAAAAAAGCACATGGCATAATAGGTCAATTTAATGGCATTGTTTGCAGTAAAGCTGACATTTCAGGCATAATCTGCAGGGCTCACTTGAAGTAGGCCATTTTGCTGGGCAGAGAAGGATTTGATACATTCCTTTATATTACTGTGTCAAATTGGATTAGAACATAATAAAATGCAGAATGTAAAATAAAGGCCTTTGGGATCACTGGTTATGCAGCACAGTGAGATGCACAAGGAATTAAAATGAATGTACTCTTCAAAAGTATGGCAAACTTGTCATGTGTAGTTGTGTGGACCTTCCCTTTTTCTAGTACGTTTCCTTGGTTTTTCCCTCCTGTGCTGCACTCATTTTTGATCTACATTGAGTGAATTTCCTTCAGTAAGTTTGCCCAGCATTTGTCTGTTTTGTAATTATTATTTGAAACAAGAAGTCATTCAAAGATAAAATGGTTGAAAACCTACTACAGTTGATGCAGTTTTTGTTTGCAACCACAAGCTGCTCAACAGTGCTCAAAACTTTGCTAAAATTTATTTCAGAGCTTCACTAATACTGCCTGCTGGCCTGGTTTGGAGTGCAGCCACAGGAATATTCACTTCAGCAGCTTCACCGTGTAGCCCGTAGGGTTCAGCTTCTGCTGTCAGTCTGCGAGATAGCTAAGCTACGCAGACAAGAAAATGTGCTGAAACTTGGGTTTCTTAAATGATGCTTGGAGGGTTTCTCATAACTTTATGGAGTAAGTTCTAACCTTTGAAATTTTGGAAATGTTAATTAGTAAGCTGAGTACTCCACACTTTCATTTATCTGATACTCTTATCTCAGAACTCACATTAGCCAAAATTGGGTTGTGTCTCCTATGTACTATGAGTCACTTGCTTTGAAAAGGTCTCTGTTAGCTGAAACCCAGTGACAAGTCTAGATGGCAGGTCATGTGTTCTCTTTGGATAAACAGGGTTACACTTCACACAGGAATTAATATTAGTAGGAATTAATACATGATTCATGTTTCACTCTGAATTTAATTTCAGAGATTACAGAAAATCCGAATACAAACTTTATGCTGCATCGCTTTTGAAATTTGAAAGGGGCAGTGATTAAAAGGAAAATACCAGAGCCAATCTTTTGCCTGAGTTAAAGCATGGAAAAAGGCCTAGTACGTACCAAAGTAACTCCAGTGTGCATGTGCATTCAACTATTAGCTGACTGCAAAACTGGAAAGTTGAGCTTGGGACACTTAATGCTGTACGAAGGCAGGCTTTCACTTAGAATGACTGTCATCTGCTCTGTCAGATTCTTTTCCCTTGCAGTTGAAGAGCAGTAACTTTTCACAGGAAAGCCAGGTTCATCCCTCTCAAACACTGAGTGTCCGTGCCCCCGCCTGTACCTTGAGTGGGGGAACTGCTTGTGCTCCTGCTGCAGCTTCATCCTAGTGTGGAAGAGGATTGTGCAGCGGGTGCACAGCATGTTCCATGCACGGATCCGTAATGCTGACTAAGAACACTGAGAAATCAAGTTAAAACAAGGACAGTATCAATTTTCAAAAAGAAATTCCAAACAGAAGAGTGGATTCAATCCATTTGGCCTGTAATATGGGCATGTTACCAGACCACAGATGTATAAGGTGAGGGTCTGAATTCAGGAAAGTATTTGTCTCAGAACATCCTCTACTTTTCATCAGCTTCTTACACTTCTTACACATTAAGCATATGCTTAAATGCTTTCCTGAACTGAGGTCTAACGAACTTCCACTTTGATCTTACTGTTAATGATGTTTGGTTTATTTGACTATAAAGTGTACATTCCATTTGAGTATGGTTTGACATAGCAAATGAAATATTTACTGACTCTTGGCACCAGTAGCTTCACCTTTGTGGATTTCTGTAATGTATCATTCTCGTTGAAGATCTGTTCTTCATAGGATGCGCGTGATTAATTTTTAGTAGCATTACAAGGAGGTTGGCTCATGCTTTGAGAAGAGAAGAAAGTTCTTTCTTTTCCAAAAGTAATTTTTGTGGGTTTGTACCTAATCACTAATGGGATTCCTGAGTGGAATTTGATACCAGAGACTTTGGGACAACAGAAAGATAGATTTATAAATTCCCCATTTCCCTATGTAACAAAGTGATGCCAAACAAAGAGTTAAAACAATCCAGTGTGTTTCATTGCTTTCATGGAACATGTGCTGAAGTGGTGGTTATGTTTTTAAGTTTGTGTAGGCTTTATAGTTAATTGGCTTTGCACTTTTTATAGCTTTAATTTTTATAGGTTGACCGATGACACTTGCGTTTTGGACAGCATTTGTCTGCACTCTGTTTGCCCAGATTACAGATGTGGTGTTACCTCAATTTATGAGAATATAGTCTCTAGAAGGACTGAAGATCACTACATAAGAAATCTTTAATCTGCCATTCTGGCTGATTCATATGCTGTAATTTATGTGGCAAATAATGCAAACCACAGAAAGACAGGCAAAATTAGAAAAGCAGTATTCCCTTAAGTAAGTTTTAGATTAAGTGAGATTAAGAGAAAAACATTCTCCAGCTTTTCTACCCTTTCAGCAGGGTAATGACTAAACCCACTATCTCCTACATAAGACATTCTTTAATATATCCAAAGAATGAGAAATCAGGTCTGAAAATGTACTGTGAATTTCCTTGGATTAAGGTCAAAGCTTGCAAAAGAGAGAGAATATTTTCCTTCAGAAATTTATCAGACAATTTAAATTATAATCAGATTAAGGAGTTAAAATCAGAAACAAAAATATCTCAAAAAGAAAAAATATAGTACTTACATTGGTGACATACTCAATATCCTTCCAAATATTACATTCCCTGGGAAAATCTGCCAAATCTAAAAAATTATCCACTATCACTTGGCCAATCAAGTCATGCCTGGAGAATCTGTCAAAGTCATACACAGAGAAATGGAGTTTCCTTGCGTTCAGATCATTGTATGGGACAGTAAATAAAAAAACTTCATCAAATACTGGATTTAGGGTCTTTCTGTGCACTTTAGTCTGGTGTTTTGTTTTCCTATCAGGAAGCAGATATATCTTCACATATGGATCTGAAGTTCCAGAGAAGTCCTTTGCTGGCAGGTTGATGGCCTTGTGTATCTTCACTATCAGCTGCTCTAAATCACAATCATATTTCAGAATAAAGTTCAGTTTTCCACATGCCTTGCTATTACTCCTCCGGCCATCATCTGTGTCCACGGATCTTTGTTTATATAGCTCGGGCTTAATGCGGCCAATCCCCGTCAGTTGCTCCTGTTTCTGAACCTGCTGGATGTTGAAGTCAGGGTTGGAGAGGTTGAGCTGTCTTCGGATTGAATTATGCCTTAAGCAAAAATGAAAAAATTGAAATAGATTGTGTTGAAGATTACAAGAATCTGTGCACACACTAAAGATCCTGTTCTCTTTTGACATGTTTTTGTAATGTACGCCAAGGTCAGATTATTACTGAGTGTGATACTCAACAGCTAGGAGAGCTCACCTTCAGCATTAGGCAGCTAATAACACATATTTTTCCATCCTGTATCGCAAGCTAGTGGTATGCACCCTCCCAACCTGGCTGAAGAAAGTAACAAATGCAAATTCATGGCCATTGCAAATCCAAAGGACCTGCCTTATTGGCAAGTATAATGTGATACGGTAAGAACTGTAGCTGTTCTTATCAGTTACCATTTTCAAATTAATCCTTTGGATTAATGCCTATGAAATGAGTTCCATTATGTAAATGGCAGCAGGATCTGGCCTATTATGCCAGCTGAGCTTGCTGATTTCTGGTTCTAAGGTAAAGCTGGACAAAGGAGGACAATTCCTGACATCTCTGCATTTTAATTACATGTTGAATTCTACAACTACTTCATTTACAAGTGAGCTGTTCTGGTCTGAAATGGTTTGTGGACCACCCCAACAACTGTTTTGTTTTTTCTCTCATACCTGATGTAATTAAGTTCTGTGGTACTTTGGCTGAAAAGCTCCTTTAGTTTCATTACTCTGAGGAGAGAAAGTTGCTTTTAGCTTCCATCCAGTGAAATTTATTACCTGGAGTCACTCAGTTATTGTGATTGAAATTTCCACTTCATGAGATGATAACAGAAATCAAATTTGTGAACCCTGTCAGGGTAGTGGGATGGGAAAGTGGGATTAGGTAAAATCTTAATCTTATATGAGCTGGTTTCCACTTTTTTGTCATATTCTTATGCAGCAACCAGTCAGTGTATTGGGAGTACCACGAGCTGTGTTTGAACATAGAAAGAGCACATGGAAAATGCTAGCACAGGATTAGTCCAAAGCTATTTATGTTGAATGCAATCAGCAATAGTTCCTCTGCTATCACTGTTCATTCATTCCTTGTAAATATATGTTTACGCATGCTTAAAACAGGAACAGCCTCTTATATACCATCCTAATTTTTTTTCTTTTGTTGCATAATAAATACATAATTTTATAGCTACACATTATTCATTTCCATGATAAAATATTATCATGTCAAAAAAAAAGATTTATATTGCTCAACCCTTAAGCTCCTCATCACAGTGGGAGGTGCAGAATATCCTGGGGAGGAATAAAAAGGAGGGTACTGGAGAGCCAGCTTAACAAGGATTGCAGCAGGGGCAGGTGCCCAGTCGCCGTGGCCGCACAGGAAAGCCACAGCTGGCTACCCAGTTATGCCAGAAAGCAGCAAAGGTGGACAAGGCAGATGGGCCCCTCCTGTTCAGTGAAAGAGACTTTTGGAGAAGACCTGGGCAAAAGTAAGGGACAATGAAGGAGAGCAAAGCCTGTATCAGCAAACAGTATAGGGCAGGGGTGGACAAGCCATACCCTTGTGGACAGAGAGCTACTCTAACACCTGCTGGAGAGAGCCAGACTGGGAACAGTTGCCAGAAAAAAGGTCTCCAGAGAAACACAGGAATGAAGACATTGTCCATGCACTGACGATGCTGAGGCAAGTTCTTTTACGGATTGGGATTACTGCTGCTTCTTGTGAGATGACTATGCTGTGAATATGTCATTTGTTTAAGTACCAGAATTGCTGCCCTGCTGTAGCAAAACCTGTATCAGACTCAATACTTTCACAGTATTGAAGACACATGTAAGAGCTCTTGGCGTTAGATGTTGGATATGAATCTTCTGTTGTTAATGAATCTCATGACATGCGTATTTCCCAGCAGTATGAAAACACAGCAGCACCAGGCCTGTACTGTACTTCTGGACTATTAGTCCTTAGCTGGAATTCAACCTTGTATATGGCAGGGCAAGTTTCATTATCCATAATTATGTCTTTGACCTCCCCATAGATTCCTACAGCAATATAAGCCCAAGCCATTCTTAGGCTAATCTAAGGAGGAAGGGCACCTGGAGCTTTTGCTGCATAGCATTAATAATGTTCTGGGAACTTCTCAAATTCTTTCTGAGGCATGTTTTGGACAACTGGCAGCCTGAACTGGCTGCCAGCTGCTGTCATCTTGCCCAGGTTCAGGTAAGATGATATGTGCAGGCAAGAGTCTTGGCTAAACTTGGTTTCCCCGATGGCCAGAAAGGAGGCTAGCAAAGAGCAGTTGGGCTAGTGCTGTACCTTCTCCAGCTGACGTGCATCTGCTTCAACTCAGAAATTTACTGGCTCTTCACATGCTGATCCTTTTTCTTACTGTGTGAAACATAATCCTTTTATCACCTGCCCCTGCACATACTCTCACCCTCCCTCTTTCCTCCTGTACTGGTTCTCCAGTTCCCTGGGAGACCTCATGGATTCTTCTTCAGTCACTTTTCCCCACACAGTCATGATTGTGGCTAAAATATATGATTTTTAATCCTATTTCTAACTCTTGCAAGTGTTTCATTAGCTTGCCCTACTTTTCTTCTTTGGCTGTTCCAAAAATCTTTGAGTGTTCAGCATCAGTGCTAAGTGCAAATGAATATGCTTTACAAGCTAAATGTAGGCTGTTCTGCTGCTTTAAGGGACACACAGTGCTCTGTGTTGTCCAGCTTCTGAGGGAGAGGCACAAACGAGACAGTAGTTGATAGAAAACTGGAATAGCATTGTGATCCTGTCCTTTCAACCTAAGAGGTCTGTGCACCTCAAAGAATAATTTATGTGTAATTTTTTTTTTTTTTTAAGACTGTGGAAAGTAAACTATGCATTTTTAATAGATCAGTGTACTGGATAATCAAGCTGTGCTCTTCTGACTGTACCTGTATTCATTAAAAGCAGAGAGAAATTGGAGTTACTGACCGAGCAGAAGAGGTTGGTTCAGTGATCTGACGATGCATTCGCACATTGTGTACGCAGTTCTCCTTCGTTCCTGCCTGAGCATCTAATGGAATATCAGGGGAGGTGTGGCTGATCTTCATGGAGGACTCCGGATAGGCTGTCGGCTGACCCAGATAATCCTCACTGTAGTCATGGTCATTGGTCTCTGTATCTGTGTAGTTCAGTGATTCTTGTTTGTTGTCTTTGTTGCCAAATGGCAGACCACGCTCTCGCCAAGGGATCCAACAAAGCTTCCAGGACACGAACAGAGAGACACCAAACAGAGCGAGACCACAGGCTGTGACAACTAGGGAGAGCAAGCTTATTGAGATATCTGTAAACAAGAAAAACACATGCATGTCACATCTTTGTGCTTTTTGGAGCTCTGCATCTCCAGGGCATACAATATGGGAAGTAAACATCTCTGGATTGCAGGTCTACAAAAATTACATTCTGGTCCCTGCAACAGTCATATAATAGAAACACACTCAATGTTCTATTCTTTTTTTTTTTTTTTCCCCCAAGAAAAAATATTTAATCTTGTTTGGAATTCAGTATAAGGCTCATCCTTATGGAACTTAGTTTATAATTTCCCTCCTGGGTGGGATGGAGGGTCATCCTAAATATGAAAAGGGCTGTTCACTTGTTCACTCAACTTTCTACTGACGAAAGAGTAATGCCTGCAGTACATTTTGGTTTTTTCTTTATTTTCCTTTTATGTAGTGCAGTTTCTTCCACCTCCTTTACTAGATCTTACTATCTCTTCCAGAGACTGTATTATACTTATAGAACAACCATGAACATATGCACACATGCACAAACGTGGCATGATTTTTTTTTTTTTAGGTATTTAACTGAAGTATCTTGTTCTATCACTTCAATTCCATTCCTTCTAATCCCAGACTCACTCTCTCTTTGAAATTATTTTTGACTATTAAGACGCATCTTGCTGTTCATCATTTAGTTTAGGTACCAATATCTCTTCAAAACTCAGGTTTTTCTTGGTTTTAACTCCGAAGGCTCTTCCTGTTTCCAAACTTCTGGCATAAAAGGAATGTGGAGATGAGTTTTCTGTTGTTTCTCCCCACACTGCTAGCATTATTCTACCCCATAATCATATCAACACAAGTAAGTTACAACTGGGAGAGACTTTTTCTCTGTTTTGCTTTGTTATAAGTTGCACATTGGGAAAATGACTCAGTGGAACAGCTGGTTTTATGGTTACAGTGTTTTTGAAATTAGTTTCTCTGTGGATTACACAATACATCATGCCTTACACACAATCAGTAAGAATTCTATTTTACTGCCTCAAATTATAAACACAACCTTATCAAAGCAATTTTTCACACTGCGTGGAGGTTCAGAATGTCAGGCTGCATCTCTCTGTCTAACAGCTAGCCTAAATTTTCAAAGGATGGCATGAGGTTGAAATGTACTGCTCCTACTAGGACAATTATTTAACACTGACAATTCAGATGGAACAGCCTCTGTAAATTTGGAAAAAAAAAAAAGTTTTTTTAAGTGGAAAAGTCAATACCTTCTGCCCCTGCTGTGAGTCTCATCCTCCCTAGCCAGACAGACTGCATTTCTGCAGAGGGGGGAGTGACACTACAATCAGTCTCACGCAGGAGCTGTCCAGTCTATTCTGCATGCTGAAAACCAATTTTAAACAATTTTAGCCAGCATGGCCCCTTTCTGTCCTTCTCCCAGTCATATGAAGACAAAACTCATTAACAGTGGGGACAGCACAGCAGCTGTTTAGAATTATAGCAAAGAGTTTCAGAGCTGAAATTAATTAAAGAAATGCCTCCCATGCATAAAAGGCAATTTGGGAGAAAGTAGAATGGTGTGTCTTGATGTTTTTGGAATATTTACTGGTAAACAAATCTGGCAGTGGACGCAGAGGAAAATCTGTTTGATTAAAAAGCAGAGGAACTGGGATGCAGTAGTAAAAGAAGACCTTCAGAATAAAGCAATTTGTCTTGGATTCCCTGGAGGAGAAGGAAGAAATACATCAGAGGTCTGCAAAAAGGTCACTTTTTCAAAGAACTGATTCAAATAAATGATCTAGCATTGAAAGAAATGAGAAACTGGGAGTTGTCAGAACCAGCCAGATTACAAGGTGAGAACTGCAGACTGCCCAATGCCAAGGATGTGTGAAGGTGAGGAACAATTTGACAGGTAGACCAACAGTACCCTACCTCGAGGATGACTTCAGCAGAGGACACAGTCATCTAGAGAACTGACATCATGAGAAAAAATACGAGAGCAATATGAACTACTTTTCATTTGGAGAGTTTGAAGGGCTTTAATTATATACCTCTGCATTTAATAGCATAACACTGAGAACCCTTAACTCACAGCTTACTTTCAGAGCATCTGGGTAATGAACAATTCAGGTAACTTGCCAAGTCACAGAATAAGAAGGGATTACTTTTCATCATCTTGGTTTTACTTCTTTCTGACTCCTTAGGAACCACGTTTGTGTGAAATTTTTGTTTCTGTGCATGGAAAAGGGACAGTCATGTACCTCTTACTTCTGTGAAAGACAGTGGGGCTAAAGGGCAGTGCTCTGAACTGTTACCTTTTTTGGACAGCAATTTTCCAATACTGCTCACCTGGCTGGTGGTTTTCAGCAACTGGGCAGATCCAGCGTGAACCACTGGGGTGAGCGCAGTCCCAAGTGAAGAGACTTTTGGCTGCATCCCGGAGCTGCTTTTACATTAGCCATTTGTATGGTTACATACTGTATTCTGTGTATAATTTTTACTCTATTTTTCCAGATGTCTCAGTTTTTCTAAGCCTGTTTATCTGTATTCCCATGTGGTAGCAGTACTCATCTGATGCCAGTGATTTCCTCTGCTTTGTAACGAGAGCAGGCTAAGTCTTTACTTGTTTGTCCTTACAAAATCAGAAATCTGCAGCACAGAAAGCGTTCCTCAAAAATCCAGCTGCTTCTCAATTCACTCTGCTTTTACCAGAATTAGTGCAATGTGTTTTCCAGAGCAGTATCTGATGCAAGTCTAAACTGCAACTGCGAATCAAAGCGTAGGCAAGGCTGAGCAGTTTACAGACAGGCATGGACATTGGGAGCAGTGAGGAACAGTGCAAAGTATTTCAGAAGGAACAGGGTTTTTCAGTAGCATTGCAACATATCAATTCAGTGTGCATGTTTCCCCACGTTTTTGATGATCATCTGTGCTCACTTTTAGCATTTGGCCAGTTCTGTTAGCGGCTAGCTAATATATCTGCTCTCTGAACCTACTCTGCATTCTCTGCAATGGAGAATCTCATGAAGTCAAGACCCTGTGCCATAGGTCTTTGCATCAGTCGCTTTCCTGGTGCAGCCATGATGCCAGCCAAGTGTCCTGAGGTATTGATATGAGTCCAAGACAAAATTTCATAATTATAGCTTCTTGATCATGGCTGCAGCCTGACCTGAGCTCCCAAATTCCAGCATATCAGAACACCTGGATAGTATTCCAGTGTGTTAATAATGGGTGATGTGTTCTGTAGAAAGTAAGTCCACATTTTTTGTTAAGAACATGTACTTTTAAAATCGGTTAAAGGAACCAATCAATGCAATTGCACATACATACAGTTAATTTTTATAGGCACAACCTCTACAATGTGCTTTCATACACCAGTAAAGGAGGTCTTTTAACAGACAGAAATAAGAAGACAGAGCAAGCCTAGAGGAGGGACACAAAGATGATCAGAGGTCTGAAGCACCTCTCCTATGAAGACAGACTGAGAGAGTTGGGGTTGTTCAGTCTGGAGAAGAGAAAGCTCTGGCGAGACCTTATAATGCCTGAAACAGGCCTACAAGAAAGCTAGAGGGGGACTTTTTATAATGGCATGTAGCAATAGGACAAGGGGCAATGGCTTTAAACTGAAAGAGGGTAGATTTAGATTAGATACAAGGAATAAATTCTTCATGATGAGGGTGGTGAGGCACTGGAGCAGGTTGCCCAGAGCAGCTGTGGATGTCCCACCCCTGGAAGCATTCAAGGCCAGGTTGGATGGAGCTTTGAATAACTTGGTCTAGTGGAAGGTGTCCCTGCCCATGGCAGGGGGGTTGGAACAAGACAATCTTTAAAGTCCCTTCCAATCCAAGCCATGCTGTGATTCTATGATCTTCAGGGTGGCCCCAAATTAGACATTCTTAGGATTAGGGAGCTTCATCTGATTTTTTGTCTATTAAGACAAAAGGAAAAGGAAAAGGTTTGTTTGGATGAAGTATCTTAAGCACTTACTGAAGCAGTTTTAACCAAATATTGCAGTGTAGTTTCATTTGTGTTTCACGAGTTTTTCTTAATTAACATAGCTGGCACTTGTTCAGGATGAAGGGTGTCTCTTTGCAAAGACTCCTGAGACATAGGAATAATTCTCAGCTAATATATTGTTCCTGAAACATACGTGAACAGAGCTAATTATCCTTATTACTGCATTTAGAAACTTTCTGGGAAATTCTTTAAAGTAAGCCAGCTGAAGACCAAGGGAGTGAATCTCAGATTATATTGTTACACATACATACGCCAACTTTTATCTGTCTGACCCTGAAATTTATGAATGTGAACCAACAAAGCAGGCCTAAGTGATATCAGTATCAGGGTTTCATATAGTAATAACATTTTCCATGATCTAAAGATATATTTATAACTGGGATTTACCAGTGTTTGAAGCTTTTATTAGATTTTAGTGGCTACTGTTTTTTTTCAAACTATGTGTTCTACCTCTTATAGGTGCCTTAGGGTATGTAAAGCTCTTGTGTTGGTTAAGACAGAGTTCTAATCCTCTGAGTGACTAGCCTATATTTTTATTCCTAAACAGTGTTACAAATTCCAGTTTATCAGTGTGTGCTTCCTCTTCACCTGCTTTGCTTGGGTTACAAATGTGTGTAATGTTTTTTCCAGGTATTGCTTAAAATGAACTAAATATCATAAACGAACTAGATCAGTAAAAGATAACCCTAGGACTTCACCAAGGTAATTGTAAATTGGTTTAAATGTACATAAATTCCATAGCACAATTTCAATCTGAAATCAGAATTACTAAATGGCCATACAAAATACAGCAAAAAGTGCAAAAGCAATAGAGATTTGTTTGCTCAGAATATTCTTCCAGCAGCAATTGCTGTGATATAATGCAAAACTGACACAAGATTGATGTAATAGTTTATTGGTAAGATCACAAAATAAGAGCTTTAAGCAAAAAAAAAAAAATTAAAGCAAATTGTTCATGGACATTCCTAACAGGAAAAAAAGGACTCAAAACATAGCAAAATATTTTTTTATTATTTTGTAGCAGCAGAAAGATTTTATTTTTGCTTACTAAGAGGAAAAATTATGTAAGCAGAATGTTTTCTTTGTAATTCAGGTAAGGTAACTTCATATTCAGAGTTTATTAATTGCAATTAAAACTGTATGTGAGCACAACACTCATAAGTATAGTTGCTGAAGAAAACTGATCAGTCTCTACGATAAAGCTTAGCATCTGTAATCCAATAAGTTGAACTTGTTCTACAAAGAATTCTTGTTTGAACATCTATTTCCTCTTAAAATATTTAGCCTGCATTAATGCAAATTTGCTTGACAACTTAGCTGACATACAATATTCTGCTAGAGTTTGTAAGTGACAAAAAATGTCTTTACTAATCAGACAGCTGGCTGAATGAGCAGTGATTCTTAAAGACACAGTTGAGCGGAGTCATATGTTCAAGGGCTTGCATTTTTCTTTCTGACATCTTGCAGTAGTACCCACTGACAAAGAATTATGGTGTTTCTCTTGTGAAAGCTAAAGCTTCTGTTTCACAAGAAACATGGATAAAAACAAAGCATAGTAGAAAATAAAATTTGTCATGACTGCATATATACAGCTACAATAAGTTTTATCCAGGTTCCCATGCCTCAGACTTGGTTCTTTTTGGTTATTACCCTATTGTCTTTGAATACATACTTCACATAACTGATAAGATATGCAAAATTACTGTATACATTTGGTCTTGTAATATTCAGTGAAAAATATTATATAGTGTAATGTGGAAAAAATGCATAAATAATAACAGAAGAAAGGATACTAGTTTTAAAGAAACCATGCCAGATTGTCAAGTAGTCTATGTGTAATGTGACATAGAGATGGCTTAAATGGCTCTATTGCATCCTGTTAGGCAGAATCAGTTTAGGTGCCACATTTGCAGGACAGGAAATGTAGCTGGAGTGAACTAATATGAAATTTTCTAAAAGCCATTTGGCATTTGAGACACACTTGTAGCTTGTTAGCTAAAAGGAGAAGCTGGTGATACGCTGAGTGGGAAAGTAATTTTGGTGGTATACATTTATACTGTAAATTCATATGACCATCAGGCCTGTTAGGTCCTTTATAGTGCAAAAGCTGAGTAGCTGTGCTCTGTAAGAGCTACAGTTCCCATGACCGTAGTCAAGAGCTGAAATGTGTATTTCCACTCATCCACTTGCTCTGCTACTTCTTGGGATATGTTAAATAGAATCAGATTAATTATTTGCTTGGAATAAATGAGATACATGTAGACTTTTCTTTTTCTTAGGATCATTCACAAAGTGAACTGAGTAGCTAATTAATAATTTGCAAATGTTTATCCTGTTTTTTTTAGGGTATAGAAAATAGTAGTTCATATGGTTATTGAAGAATTTAACTTCTCATCTAGTGTAGAAAGTGACTAGTCACTTTTGGCAAATACTGTGTATGATCCCTCACTGGCAGAATGAATAGAGAAATGAATGATGAAGAATGAATAAAGAACAACCATGCTTTCTAGCACAAACTTTTGGACAAACTGTGTGTGTGATAAAAAGTACGAAACTTTTGAGATTTGTGAACATTTTCATGAATAAGCCATCAGAGCAAACATTAACCTTGAATGTTATGGCCCTATGAATAATAATGAAGAGAAATTGCCATTTATTTCTGCAATATATAGCCGATAACAGGAAGTCCCCAGGCTATGGAAGAAGAGCAAACAGCTTATTTGGACCATGCCAATAAGCTTTAAATTCCGTTATAGTCCTTGAAAGCCCAGCAAGTTGCAATAAATACTAAAGAAGCATTTGAGAGCACTAAAAGAAATGACAGAGAAGAATTTCATTTCCCATTTGTATAAAGCTGCACAGTAATATTGTACCAAAGTGCTCAAAACAGTAGTTACAGAGGTATGTTGTAAAAAAAAAAAAAATGAAGTAGCAACATCTTCTAGAATTTTTTAACAAATTCCTTTTAATGTTGATCCCCTTTGGGGCACAATCTTTCCAGGTAAAACCAACAAAAAAGTACTTACCCAAGTGTTTCCCTAAATGACTTTCTTTTGGTGGGAAAATTTGTGGAATTAAATGAGTTTAAAGGACCATGGGAGATGTGGACAGAGCACTAAAGGTTCTAAAGGGCTGTTTGACCTTTAGCAAAGTTTAAGTTTCACATTTATATCTAAAGACATGTATACGTAAATATAGAAATACACACACATCTATAATATGATGAATATGATGTAATAAAACTAAAAAATATTTTCACAGAACTAGCCACAATGATTAATAGGACTTGCATCACTCATATTCTTCTAGAACAAAAATATATAACATATTTTTCTTTCAAATTTCCATTTTCTTTTCTATTGGAAGCATTGAATTTCACCTACTTGTTGGCTACTTGTCCCTTTACTTTTCTTATGCCC